ATAACTCATGTCTATTCACACCCCCAAATAGGCCCAATCAATTAATCTAACAATTCTATATTATTATACAAATTAGAATATATCATACAAGTTAAATAATAAAATTAAATCAATTATTTCGAATATGTCCAATAATTCCATTAATCCAAACAACTTAAATAAATCAAATAATTTATATAAATTCAATAAATCAACTAATTCAAATATACCAATTCAATCACATAAATTAGTTAATTCAATTAGGCCTAAAATCACATAATTAATCAATTAATTTAATTAATAAATAATTACTAAAAATTGGGGTGTTACATCACCCGTAGTTAGCCGAACCACGTTGACTCTGATTTCTCATTCTCTGATGAGAATACGTAGGCATAAAGTGCGACGCTTTGCCGAGTCATTTTTCTTTTCGTTTTCAGCCAGCCTTGATAGGTAGATAGATCATAACCAACCCGTCCAAGTAAACAAACAAGCGAGGATCCCGTCGAGTACGACGGACGTGAGGGGTGCTAATACCTTCCCCTTGCGTAACCGACTCCCGAACCCAGACAATGGTTGCGACGACCTTGTCTTACCCTTATTCGTCAGGTTTTTCCGATCGTTTCCTTTCCTGCTCTGAGGGATAAATAACGAAAGGTGGCGACTCTTCTGTCATGCCGACACCTTATTTTCGCGCAAGCGACAATCTTTTAATGAATCATGTGTGTTGTTTTTGTTTGGTTTCTGAGTGTGGGTTTCAAATGAACATGGGCCTAGCTTTCACTGATACTCACACCCCAATAATTTCGGACCACTTGTGCGCTTACCTGAATCACGTTGTTCTGGGTTTTACTTATACACCCCTTCATTATTTCATTTTCTTTTTTATTCTTATTTTCACTTCTTTGATTTTGATTTTATTTCTATTTTTTCCTTTTATTCTAAAAATCCCCAAAAATACTTTTTAGACATTTTAATGTCTCTAAAGTTCTATCACATTTTTATTTTTATTTTTAAAATATTTTTCCTATTTTATTTGCATTTATTTTTAAGAGGTGTTTCCATACTTTCCCTTAGATTAGAGTTTTGTGTTTTGATGCCTTAAAAAGTTTCTCTTGAGCCAATTTTTCGTAATATTTTGACACATGTTGTGATGATGTTTGAGTATGGCTTCTGACCTTTGGTGATGTTATTTGGTATGCTTTTCATTTGGTTATTGTTACCCTCGATTTATGCTCGACTAGTAGGATACCTTAAGCTTGTTGATTGATTTTGTGTATGCTCTTGTACCTTTCTTCTAGAGACCTTCTACGCACACACCCTTGAGTCTATGGCCATGAGGTAGAGCCTTTTATTTGAATTTATTTGTCTATTTTCTCATTTTTCATTGATGCCACAAGTTAGGGTTAGTTTTTAACATGATCATGCTTTGTTTTGACCTAGTCTTTGAATCTTGTTTCTTGTATGGATTCTTTTGATGTTTATTTATATTCATTTAATTGAAAATCTATGTTTAAGCTTTTGATTTCCTTTGACTCATTGTGTATTTCTTGCATTTTGAATTCCTTTACTTATATTTGGATGTTTGAGTTCTTTTATGGTTGATATGAATGATGCATGCCTAGCTCTTTGCTCATGTTTTGAGGTTGATTCTTATTGAGTTTCTTTGATGTCTTGGTGTTGTGTATGAATTGAAATGCTTGGTTTTCTTCTGACCTTCAATGTTCACATGCCCAAATTACATATGCTTGATCATTGTTGCTTTGTTCTCATGAGATAAATGTTTACATATGCCTAACCTTTATTTTGACACATGATGAATGCTCTTGTGCACCTTTCTTCATCTTTAGAGTGTGTTGACCATGATGTGATGCAGGTTTTGACCTTAATTGCTTTTCATATTTCTTAATTCACATTGTCTTGGTTTGTTCATTATTGATATATGGTTATCTTTTCAAGGCATGTATGTTTGTGTATTAATCATTTGACTTTGCCTAAATATTTGAGTTGTGTTGTATGTGTTCTTTAAGTATGTTTAGATGATTCAAATGTATATGAGTTTTCACTTGTATGCCTTTTTGTTGCTTTAATTTAAGTTAGAAACATGTTTTGTCTTGCATACTTGTTTGCTTCTTCTTGCTTGGTTTAATTGAGTCTTCTTGCTTTGGTTGCTTAAGATGAATTCTTGATGACTTATTCCTTCCATATTTAACGCATTGCTATTACCTCCTTGATACTTCACATCTCATTTTCCCCCTTGGTGGGTATTATGTATCCCTCTCCCCCATTACAATGTAATAATCTAGTTCTTTTTGTTTCTTATCTTTGCTTGCTTGCTTGTTAAGAAAGTTAAAATGAACTAGGTTAGAACACCTTTCAAAATAAAAGACAAATAAAACTTGATCCAATGTCAAGTCATTTTTTCAAATTCATTAACTTGGATTACCTTAGGGTTTCTCCCCTCTTCTCTTTCTCTTTTCTTATCTCTTCCATTAAACCCCACATTTACCTTGTATGTATTCCACATTTGTAAGTCGATTGCTTCGCGCATCGCCCTCAACCTACCTTGCTCTATTCACCACCCCTTCTTTTCAAAACCTTTTCTCCATTTCTCTGTCTCCTTGAGTCTAAAAATCTTGGTCTTGTACCAAGTGCATTTTCAAAACTTCTTTTCCTAATAAACTTGGATGGTTGTGGAGTGGTTAGGCGAAGGCCTTGGCCTATCCCAAGTGTTTGACATTACCTTTAGGGTTCACTGTCATAAAGCAATTACCATCCAATTTAAAACACCTTAAACAAGAGAATAAGATTCTCTTTGTATTGCATTAAAGAGAGAGGATTGGGTGAAGACTTCTTCCTCTCCGAGTATTAGGATACTCACTTTAGAGTGTGTGGTCTCGATAATCGTCTTTTAATACGAAGACATGACTATATTCATCACACCATTTTCACAATAAATATTTTGAGATAAAGAATTAGATACTACCCGTAAGGGGTTACTATCTGAGGACTTATTTTACCCTTAAAAAACAACCTTCAGCAAATCAAATGTGACATCTTACCGTGATGGCGAAAACTATTTCTTTTCAAAAAGGACATGTTACGTCCGTTCTATCGTAAACAGGTAACACCTAAGACTCCATAAGTGAGCTACAATACACCTAACTGTTAGAAAGCGCACATTAGCATCGTCTATAAAAAACACCAACAAACCGTAGTCCGAACTACGGGCGCTCTGATTTTTCACTTCTTTTAAGTAAAGATACATAGGTACAAGGGCCCAAATCCTTGGCGAGCACCCTTCCATATTTTTATATGTAGTCCTTCGAACTACACTGACTCTGACTTTCTCATACCTGTTGAGAATACGTAGGCATAGGACCGCGAAGTCCTACCGAATCTCCTTCCCCATTTCTCCTCCTCTTTTCTCTCATTTTTGTTACCAACCCTTCTCTCTCCCCTTTAGAACACTCTTAGAAAGCAATATCATTTAGCAAATATCCTCACACATAGACAAGCAAATGGTTCCCATAGATACGATGGATGTGAGGGATGCTAATACCTTCCCTTCGCATAACCGGCTTCCGAACCCTTTTTCTTGGTTGCGAGGCCATCTTATCCATTTCCTTCTTAGGGGTTTTCTCGATGTTTTCCCTTCTCCTTTTGAGATAAATAAAGTTCGATGGCGACTATTCTGTTCTTCCGCTTTCGCCTCAACGTCGTTGTATTTTTTCGAGTAGCGACAATCGCATAATACATGCTTACATAGAGAGAATAGTAAGCTCGAATAAGAAAACTCCACCTGACCACTCTTCCACTTTGCATGAAGGGAATGCAAACTGAAAAAAATTGTTGCATCAGTAATCACCCTAGAGCAAAGTTAACTTCCCCAACCATTATTGATAGAAAGAACATGGATTGAGGTTTATGGGAAGAAGAAAACAAATTGTCATCTCTCTCCACCTTAACGCATGCCCCTAAAACTAAGGCACACATTTTCTAATCCTAAACTACCTCTCATTTTCGATAGTCTTTAACGCATGCCTCTAAAATTATGGTACATATTTTCTAACCCTAAACTACCTCATCAAATTTGATTTTATCTCTCAAGTAATGAACACCTAAGATCCACATGAGATCAGTCTTTATTCTAAACTAGGGCAAAATCTAAAATCATTCATAATCGAGTCACCCAAGTTTTAAGAAGTTCTGCAGACTAGGAAATATACATGCCACTTAGACACATTTGATTAGGGCAGTTTGATCCCTAAAGATTGTCAAATAAAAGAGGTTGCATGATATTATATTTCTTATTCCTTAAGATATCATTTCTTATTTCTTGAGATAGTTGTCTTTGAGAAGGTTTCATGGTTTCTAAACCCTAAGCGTCCATTATAAACTCTAACTAACAATTCATATGTTAATACACACTATTCTAAATTATAAAACCTTATACCAACGATCTCTAATAGTTTGATCGTAAGAGTGTTTGTAAATACACTTACTTTTAAAAATTAAATATTAGTAATTGTTGCCAAATATATTATCAATGTCCAGATCTATAAATCTCTAAATCCCACATATCATTTTCCAATACTTACTTTGTGTGTCCTATTTTAAAATGGTAAAATTTACATTAAATATAAAATAATTAATGTTAGAAATAAAATATTTTAGTAATTTTATCCTATTTAGGAGTAAAAGAACTAATGCTAATGAAATATCATTAATTGTTTTTTTTAATATAAAAAACACCTCTTAGAAACATGAATCTCAAACTCAAAAATGAAAGAAAAAAAAATTATAAAAAGAACACATTTGTCTGCTCCTCTATTGGACCTTTTCTTGTATATTCCATTGAAATATTTTAAAGAATCTTTCAAACAAAACCATTAGACCAACACTTCTTTCTCCGAATTAAAACAACACTTCTTTCGCCTATATATATTAATTAATTTTTCCTAATTACCATCTACTCTTATTTCATTCTCTTGCCCACAGTAACTTTCCGATTCGCTGCAATGGGTGGTCCGGAACCTAACGGCACGGAAACCGAGAAACCAACACAAACGGTTCAACACCAAAGTGATTTTATTTTACCTGAAAATTCCGTTAACGGTTACGAAACCGATTCTAACAACCAAAGTAGTTTACGTGATGGTGGTGCATATAGCAAAAACGAAGGAAACGTAGGGTTTGTTCCTCCTCATTCACTCCTCCCGATACCGGTACCGCCGGAGGTTTTTCAAAGAAACAAAAACGACGAATCTCCGCCGAGAATATCCGTCTCCAGCACCATGCCGGACTTCGGAAGCTTCATCCGTCAACGGAGCAGCGATTTATCCACCGCGATTGCAAAACGAGTTTCATCGTTTCGGAAATCGATGGAGCAGAGCGACGAGAACGGTGAGAACGATAGGAAGAATAACGATCAGAATCAGGAAGTGACGGAATTCAATCTTTCAGGTCACAAGGTTGTTGTGAAGGTGAAACCGGAGGAAGAACCCGCGATGAAAGGGAGGATAACGTTGTTCTCAAGATCATGTTGTAGAGACTGTACGGCGGTGAGGAGATTCTTCAAAGAGAAAGAGCTGAAGTTCGTTGAAATCAACGTCGACGTATTTCGCGAGAGGGAGAAAGAGCTACGAGACAGAACGGGTATTACTTCTGTTCCGATGATTTTCTTTAACGAGAAGCTTATCGGAGGGTTAGTCGCGTTGAACTCGCTTCGAAACAGCGGAGAGTTTGATCGGAGGTTGACGGAGATGGTGGTTGAGAAGTTCGCCGGCGATGATGCACCGTTACCGCCTATGTACGGTTGTGATTATATTGAGGATGATCGAACGGACGAGATGAGTGGACTTGTTAGTCTTTTGCGGCGGAAATTGTTCGTTCAGGATTGGTTGAGGAGAATGAAAATCATTCAGAATTGTTTCATAGGGAACGAGTTTGTGGCGGTTGTGATTCAACACTTCAAGTGCGCGCGTAACGAGGTACGCCATCGTATACCGTATAATAAGCGTATTTTCTTTTTCTTTTATAAAATTCTAAAAATTTGTTTATTTTTAAATATTTGAAGGAAAACTAATAATGGGATAAAATAACACTAAATATCTATTTTGAAATATTTTTTAAAATGCACTTGTTGATTAAAATCCTATTTTAAAATCTCATAAATACTATTTAAATAATTATATACGTTTTCAAAGACAAAAAAGTTTTTGTAATAAAATAATTCCGTTTTCATATTTTGAACGATTCAATCAATGAATAATTTGATTTTTTTTTTCTTCCTATAACTTGGTTATACACGAGGGGCTGTTTTATTATATTATACGAATATAAAAGATTAATAGTTAAAATTGTTTTACTTTTTTATTATTTTGCCACCAAAACTCGATGATACTTGAGAGGTTGCTTTATTATAAAAATATAAATAAATTTCATATCTAAACAAGAGTGGTTTACAGGATGAATATTCAATTACTTCATTTCTGTTTCCTATAACAGTAAAATTCACGTCAGAGGACATTGGGTTGGGGTTTGGCTTCCATTGCAAGCATTGAAACAGGTTATTCGGGTCATAATCACTTCTATTACCAACACGGTTTTGTGCCTAGAACTTATACTTACACCACATTTTACAAAAGAAACCTTTCTCCACGTGATGAAGAAGATGAAATCATTGTCACATTTTTTTATTTACTTTAGTTAACCAGATTTTTGATGAATGTGAGAAAGATGAATATTTTTTGATTAAAGAGAAAGATGAATATGGAATAGAGATAGGGGCGAAATTGTGTGTGGCAATGCTTAAATTCTTTTTTCACTTTAATTTTTAACCAATTTAATCCGTTGTTTAAATATAATAGTATCATTTCAATATTTTACTGATAAGAATTTAATTGAATTAAATTGAGCCACCACCTTAAAAGTCACTTGAATAACAAAATATTTTTTTTATAGATGTGAACAAAAAAATAATGATTAGTTTCTTCATTTCTCATAATCTTCTCCTGTTTGACTTGTTCCGCACGCTATTTCCACTGTCAGACTCGTACACTTTGGTTGCGGCACTTGCTAAAACTTCCTTGTGTGCATTTTTGATAAATCTATAACGAAGAATGTTTAATATAAAAATGAAGGACGTTATATTTACGCTGAATAATAATAATAATTTTAATTTTCTTAATTCAATTCATGTGATAGCTTCTCAGAGAATATTAAATGTAGTTGTGCAGATCCGAAACTACAGCATTTCATTTATTTATATTTATAAATCTATTATATTTTATTTATTCACTTTTAAAAAAGATAAAATATCGGCTATTGAACTATTTGACAAAAATAAATAAATAATAAATAATAAAAAGTCATGTAATTCATTGTGATCTCAAAACAAATCTGACTAACATAGAAAATAGAAAATAATAATAATAATAATAATAATAATAATAATAATAATAATAATAATAATAATAATAATAATAATAATAATAATAATAATAGTGTGATATGCACCGTATTTGAAAAGTAAACTGGTATGTTGAGTTTTTTTGTTGAGGCCCTTTTTTAATTTTTCAACTACCTAAATATATCTTTTTAAATAAAATCGATTCTTTCAGAAACAAAGATTGATGAAATTAAGGTGAACTACCACAACTTTGACAAAATCTATATACTATTATTTTTAGATAAATCTATACTTTAGAATACACTTTCATTTTGCTAAACTTGACATATAACGGATGTTGGTCAGAATAACAACTTTCAATTCTGTTAACTGTAATGTTCAACTAAAATAAATATTGCATTCATGAAAAATTGCTCAGGCTGTTGAGATTGGAAAAGAGTTATCCAGAAAGCACTTCATCCATTATGTTTCCGGGTAAGAAACGAGCTTTTGAGCCTAATGAAACCACACCCTGTTTCAATATAATTATATGAGTCACAATATTTTTTGGTAATATTCTTATTGGCATTATCTACTTTCTTCTGCAGGGATAGTGACTTTGTAGACGGAACTAACTTGTATCGTTTCCTTGAGCATGAACCCTTTATCCCGAGATGCTTTAATTTCCATGGTGCGGTAAATGATAATGAACCAAAGACAGCAGCTTCAGTTTGTGATAGGCTTGCTAAGATTATGTCTGCCATTCTTGAGTCTTATGCTTCTGATGATAGACGACGTGTTGATTATGCGGCCATTAGCAAAAGCGAAGAATTTCGTAGGTATGATAATTCTTAATTTATTCTTATATTTTCAGTCAAAATATATTACATTTAACTATTTATATTGTGGCATAATTTGAATACAAAGGTTTAGATCTAGTGGATCATCAAATAGTACTGAGCTATTTACATAGATACCTAATGTAGTAATGTGATTGATAGCAACCATTCGAAGTTACCTTGATAGGATTAGCTATATAACTCTTGGTATTAGCTTCATGTTTGTGTGAGAGCATAACAATTGTGAGTGTTTCAGTTATCAAATCTGTGAGAGCAAGTGAGTAGCAATCATAGGCTGTAAGGGTGTGAAAATCTCATAACTCCTTGCCCTTGATTACTCCTAACCTTGATAATCCCCGTATTCCTTCTCATTTCCTTCCTTATTCCTGCTGCTCAATTTTTGTTTTGCTGCAATCGTTCATCAAGAATGGTTTTAATTTCATAACAAAATAATATATGGATTAGTTCATCTATTAATCTTTAATGATCTAGTCACTGACAAGGTTTTAAATCACGATTACGTTGTGATCTTTGATACTACGAATAACTTCTGTCAAATACGGCTGCCTCTTTAACTACAATTGTGTTATACATATAGTGACATTAAAAACCTTAATGTTACAGCGCAAATTGGAGTTAACATGACTCATTGAGTTAACTTGAATGCTTGTAATGGTGATCCATCATTTGGGGTGGCTTCCTTGTGGCTTCTTCCATCAACTCTAGTTTTTCTCTTTAACATCAGATTATTAATGTCTTCTGTTATTACTTATTTATCTTGCTATTTTTTCATTCTAATTGTAGGTATGTAAATATGACTCAGGATTTGCAGCGAGTGAATATCTGCGAACTATCAGAAAATGAGAAGCTTGCCTTCTTCTTAAATATATATAATGCCATGGTCATACATGCTATCATTAGCGTAGGCAGCCCAGAAGGTGTAATTGATAGGAGATCCTTCTTCAATGACTTCCTGTATTTGATTGGAGGATATCCTTATTCTCTTGCCATTATTGAAAATGGTATTCTCAGATGTAATCAGAGGTCACCATATTCCATAATGAAGCCCTTTAGCACCGGAGATAAACGGTTAGAGGTAAATTGTTTTAATCAATTTTCAGTTAGTTTTCCCTAACAGTCTTGTGAAACACTCATGCTATGTCAAATAACGATCAAAATCATTAATTAATTCTAAAATCACTTTTTTCTTTCACAAAAGTAAATAAAAATAAGTAAATGATAATTATGGAGATAGATTGATTAGCCCGTTTCTTACAAACTGCAGGTTGCTCTTGCCAAGTTGAACCCGTTATTCCATTTTGGACTTTGTAATGGTACAAGATCTAGCCCAAAAGTGAGATTCTTTTCACCCAATAGAGTTGTAGATGAATTAAGAGGTGCTGCACGAGAGATCTTTGAGAATGGTGGCATTGAAGTGGACCTAGAGAAGAGAACTGTTTATCTCCCACGGATTTTTAAGTGGTAAGCAATTTGAGTTTTTCTTGAACTTAGATTCTAACTAAATTCAAACTCTGTATCTTATCCTGTGAAACATATTTTGGCAGGTTCAGTACAGATTTTGGACAAGAGCAAGAAATACTTAAGTGGATACTTAATTACGTTGAACCAAATAAAGCAGGTCTATTGACACATCTCTTAAGTGATAGTGGACCTGTTAATATATCTTACCAGAATTTCGATTGGTCATTAAATTCTTGATTAGTGATGACCAGATTTGATTCTGCCATCTTATCCCAGCCAAAAGAAATAATTTAGGTGGTACGTTATCAAAGCAGATAGTTCATTAGTGCGTTTATCCGTATTACATTACCACTTATGCAGATCAATAGAAATTCTAGATAGTTCTATTAAAATTATTACTGTATTATTTTTTCATAAAAAAGATTTGAGTATGAATAAATATTAGGAACAGATTTTGTAGAGGAATTACTCGACACTATATACTGCATTGCCGGTTAGGAGTCTTGTGCAGGACTATTTTCTTTTTCTACTGTTAAATGTTATACAGTACAGGCTTAAAGGCAAAATTTATACTAGTCTTTTGTAACTTATATCATGTCTTTGTATGGTGTTTTAAGGTTTTACTCATTTTATTACAACATAAATAACATGATTAAAAAAACTCTGAACTTTCAGTAACCAAATAAATGCATGAAAATTGGGTAACATGAAAATTGGGTAACCACAATTGTAATTCTTCAAAGAGGTGATTTGTTTAAATAAGTCGTTGATTTTATCAAAAAATAGTTCCCTAGTAGCAGTCAAGCTTAGCCAAAAAAATTGCAGGCATTTTTCTTTTTATCGACTACAAAAGTGTCGCTCAGACTTTGTCTAACATCACAGCCAATCTTTTTGGAAAATAACACTATAGATTTATCTTTGTTAACCTACAAAAGATCTCAAAATTGGGCTTAACTACTTGAATCTGATTAATGATTGCATATATAAAAAAGATTGAAACATCAACAAACACGAGTTGAGAGAATTTGAATCCCCCTTTATTCAATACAACTGGCTTCCAAAGTATAAGATGAACTATAGTACACCAGCTGAAAAAGCTTTTCAATGCAAATCTCAAGTAGGTAGAGAATATAAAGGACTTGATCCTCCTAGGAGTGCACTCATTCCAAGCTTCATCATCCAGTCCTAAAAGAAGACATTCAATGCTAAATAAGAGTTATCTTCTTATCAATCAGTCCAATATCAAGAAGCTTAACTTGGACAAACACTCATTTCAACCTATCATTAGAGGTTAAGTCTTTCGATTTTAGTTATCATAATCCATTTCTGTTTGAAAAGTGTTGTGAATAGTATGCCTTGAAACAAAATATAAATGGTTTCTTTATATTCAAGAAACACACAAGGGTTGGGGTTAACAAAGAAAACAAGCAAGAAGAACAAGAAGAAACAACAAGGATTGGTTATAAACTGTTATTCTTTCTTTTCTCTATCAAACAAGATTACAAGTATACAAGAATAACAAATAATCTCACTCACTTGAATTAGGATTTTATCTTACTATTTTTCCTTATACAAGATCAGAGACTAGCATGCTATTTATAAGAAAACTAGCACACTAACATAATGGACTTTTTAACAATTACCCATTACAAGTTAACTTAGGGTACAAGCTAACTTAAGCAATTGGACTTACAAGCAAGACTCAATTCAACATGCTAACAAACCTAGCAATATTGACTAATGCATGTTAGAACAAACTTCGACTACAACACGCATTACTCTGACAACATACTAGAGTTCGATCAAATATCTCACAAATCTCCACCTTGGATCTAACCCTATAACATCAAAAAACTAGCTTTATTCATGCATCTTTATCAACTGCAGTGGAAAAACTTGCAACTGGGTAACGTCTTGGTGATCATATCAGCAACATTATGATCTATAGAAACCTTTAGCACTTGTACTTCTCCACGCTCGATTACCCCTCTGACGAAATGCAGCTTCACATCAATGTGATTGGTTCGCTCATGATAGGCTGAATTCTTCGACAGATGTACTGCACTTTGACTATCACATTTAACAGTGATAACTCGACCTTGAAGTTTCAGCTTCTTTGCAAAACCTTCAAGTCACAATGCTTCCTTCACAACTTTATTTAGGCCGATATATTTCGCTTCAGTGGTTGATAAGGCAACGACCTTCTGAAGTGTTACTTTCCAACTGATTGTTGTCTCAAACATAGTGAGCACATATCCAAAAATAGATTTTCTGGAATCCATACAACCTGCATAATCAGATTCGACATATCCTTCGATTGATGCTTTACTATCTTCACCCAAGGCTCCACCATAAATTAGGACTCTATTCAGAGACTCATTTATGTACCTTAGAATCCACTTCAATGCTTGCCAGTGAGCCTTTCTAGGATTCACCATGTATCTGCTTATAAGACTTACTACATATGCTATGTCGGGTCTAGTACAGACCATATCATACATCAAAGAACCCATTATATTAGCATATGGAATGTTATTCATATAAGCTCTTTCGACATCACATCTATACTCAGCTTGAACTGAGGGTTTTTTGGAGTCACAACAGGTTTTAAACTCGACATACCAAACTTTTTGAGAATCTTCCGTAGGTATGCCTCTTGAGATAAGCATAATTTCGAATGCTTTCTATCTCTTCGGATGTCAATCCCAAGAATCCTGGATGCAACTCTCATATCCTTCATGTCGAACTCCTTATTAAGTTCAGCCTTTACCCTCATTACATCTTCGACATTGTTGCTTTCTATTAGAATATCATCCACATAAAGCAACAAAATAACAAATGAATTACCAGGTCAAATTCTAAAGTAAACACAGTGGTCGAACTGACTTCTAATGAAACTTATGCATGTCATGAACTTGTCGAATCTCCTATTCCACTATCGAGGATATTTTTTTAGTCCATATAAGGATCTATTCAGCTTGCACACATAATATTCCTTCCCTTTTTCGACATACCCTTCAGGTTGCCTCATAAGGATTGTTTCATCTAGATCACCATATAAGAACACAATCTTCACATCCATCTGTTCCAGTTCAAGGTTGAACTGTGCCACTATGGCAAGCAACATTCAAATGGATTTGTACTTCACAACAGGAGAAAACACATCATTGAAGCCGTCACCTTCTTTCTGAGTGAACCCCCTAGCGACCAATCTTGCCTTGTATCTCTTAGACACCACTTCTTCGATCCCTTCCTTAACTTTAAAAATTCATTTACAGCTGACTAACCCGACTCCAGCAGGTTTCTTGATCAGTTCCCAGGTGTTGTTATCATGAAGAGATTTCATCTCATCATCCATGGCCTTCAACCATTCAGTCTTCTTTCGACTCCTCATAACTTATAGTTCTAGGTTCTTTGTCTAGAACCTCACTTGCAGAGATTAAGGCATAAGCTATAAGATATGCATACCCAAGTATCTGAGGTGGCTTGATGACTCTCCTCGACCTGCCTCTTGCTAGCCGGTAGTCATTATCAGTCTCCTCATCTTCGACACCATCTTCTGCGTCTTCTTCGACTTCATTTCGGATACACAATTCAGCCCCAACATGTTCCACCTCAACAGGAATCTCTCCCTGTTCTAGATCTTCGTCAACATGATCGGTTTTATTGAAAGCCATCTCTGCTTCCTTGAAAACTACATCTCAACTGGTGATACACCTCCTATGACTTGGCTTTAGGCACCATAACCTATAAGATTTGACTCCTTCAGGGTATCTCATGAGCATGCATTTCAGAGCTCTAGGTTCGACCTTGTCTTGCCTAATATGAGCATAGGCCACACAGCCAAATTCTCTTAGTATGTCGAGACTAGGTGGATGTCTCGACCAAACTTTTTCAAGTTTCTTCATTCCCAAGACAGTCGAGGGACATCTATTTATCAGATAGGCATTTGTCAAAACAGTCTCCGCCTAAAACACCTCCTTCAATTCAACACTAACCAACATGCATCTAACCCTTTCAAGGATTGTTCGATTGAATCTCTCAGGTAAACTATTTTGTTGAAGAGTATCTGCTATAGTCTTATGCCTTGCAATCCCAAACTCAACACAATAACTGTCGAACGCTTCGTTGCAGATCTCAAGGCCATTGTCGATTCTCAACCTCTTAACCTTTCTGCCAGTTTGAGTTTCGACTAGAACCTTCCAACTTTTGAAATTCTCAAAATTTTCATCCTTCGTCTTCTAGATGAATACTCATAGCTTTCTAGAATAGTCATCAACAATGGATAGAAAATACATTGCGCTTCAGTGTGAAGGATTACTTGTAGGCCCCCAAAGATCAACATGAATATAATCCAGAGATTCATGTGTTCTTTGCTTGCCTTTGTTAAACTTCGCCCTACAGGATTTACCAAATACACAAGACTAAAAAAACTCCAACTTTTCGACTTTGTCACCTCCTAGTAGGTTCTGCTTCCCCAATTCCACCAGGCCTCTTTCACTGACATGGTCCAACCTCAGGTGCCATAATTCTGTCTTCGACACAGGTTTTGTGGATGCAATATTTGTCAAACCACTTACAACCTCAGCCTCAAGGGTATACAAGCCTTGTTTCTTCACGCCTCTTAAGACTTCCTTCGACCTCTTCTTGACTCTTAGGATAATTTTCTCTCCTAGAAAAACATATCCATTCCTGTCGAATTCACCAAGAAAAATCAAATTTCTCTTCAAATCAAGAATATACCTGACTTCAGTCAATAACCTTATTGACTCATCACAGAGCTTGAATTTCATAGATCTGATACCTGCAATTTTGCAAGATTTGTTGTTTCCCAGCAGCACCGATCCACCATCTTGATCATATAGCTCCTCGAACAATTCTCTGTTTGGAGTCATGTGCCAAGTGCAACCTGAATCAGTAATCCACTATTTTCTTGAGTCGCCACTTGAAACCACAAGAACATCAGGTGAGTCAAAGTCATCTTGAACAATGGCTACATTGCCATTATCCTTACCTCCATGATCTTTCAAACGTTCAGGGCACACCTTTCTTGTGTGACCCTCCTTCTTACAGTGATAACATCAAATACCATATGTTTCACCACTATAAGACTTATGTTGACTTTTACCTTTCTTCTTGTCGAACTTACCATCCTTTCGCAAGAACTTTCCCTTAACGGCCAAACCTTCTCCCACCGTCGAAGGTTTATGCTCCTTTCGTTTATTCAAGTCCTTAGA